CGAGTACGGAATAAATTCAGTGTTTTGAAATTTTCATTGTTTAATAATACAAATCGAAGGTATAAAAATTTGTTTATAATGAAAGATATTATGATGAAATGTGGTATCATTTAGCAAAAAACATGTTTTTTTAAAATAAGGACTACACCTTTTATACAATGAGAGACACAATTATAAGTTACTGTACTGGATTGTGACAAATAAAAATTCCTTGCAGTTTACATCTTTTTTTTAAAACCTAGTAAGTAATAAATATGTAGTTTCAATGTATATTTATTTCTATGTTGTTTGCTATTTATCTTTTATTCTCCTATATGCAAATCGCATTATTTATAGACCGCTACAGTCGCCGACAATATTCGCTATGAGCAATGACATCTGATAAGCATCGTATTCTCGAGCGGAAGAGTGATTATGCTACCTTGCTTTGAAGCTGCCGGCGCGCATGCGTCAGGTTAGATTAAGTTTGTTACCGCGTACAATTTCACAATTTTATACTGGACAGTTCACTCCAACGCTTTCATCATACGCTAAAGGTTAAGATGTTTTATCAAAATGTTGTTTAGCACTACTTCAACAGAAAATATAACCTTGCATAATTCTTGACTTTGATTTTTATATGGATTTTATTAGAGACATAAAATATATGACTTTTGAGGAATTTCAAGGACTGTCGAAAAAAAAATTCTTGCATACTCGACTTTAAGTAGACGATGTTCCCGCAGAAGCTATGATGTCTTATTAGACCAAAGATCCATTATATTCATTTAAAGCTGTGAGTGGCACTGCAACTGTTATGGACAGACGTGTAGCTTACCATCAGGCACACGACTTATTCGTCCTGTCACTTGATTTTATATAAAAAAAAACTAGTATATTTAATTTACCATAACCAGGATACTCCTGAGTTTGTGTTTCCTTTTGGGCTAGTATTGTAGTCCAATGGATCGCTGGTCGCCCATAGCCAATTCGAATTTTTATATTTTGAAATCCAGCAAATCTTAACATCATCAAACACAAAACGAATGTTGTGTTATTGCTCATAAATATTGATTAAAAATAAACAGCAATAAATAAAGATTTAGTAATTAATTCGCATAGCTGGGAAGTGTGTGCGTGGGCGCATTCAACATCTTATTAATGTGGTAATCTTGCGTTATGTCATAAATTGTTGTCACTTGCTCAGTTTACCATGTTAATGTAGTAGTGTGAATGGTGTCGTGGGTAGAAGGATAATTATGTATGCGGTGTCTATTTTTATTAGCGCGGAACTAGTTGTGTATGTAGAATAATTAATTGGTAGCGTTAATTTTGTGTATTAACCTATATAACATATTTCTAATATTATATTTTTTAACAATCGAAGTGCTTATTAAAAAGTACACAATATGTAACAGATACCAAGTAAGTGAAGATACATGTTTTAAAAATGAAACTTCAATAAGCTTAAAGCAAGGAGCACCTGTCGGCCATACCTGCGCAGGCGCAATGAATTGCCTCGTAAAACAAGAACGGAAGCGTCTAATAACTCTACTGATTTAAAGAACCTATTAAAACACCACTTTGATCCTACACACGCCTTAAATCCTTTGATTTGCACAGTGATGTCACTTCAAAAGAAATAGTTTAACTAATTTGCGCGGTCATAAATCCTAACTTTTTCTAGATAAATGAACATATTTCATAATTGCGTTCTTCATGTCGGTTGCTGTTAAAGAAATGGTCCTGATCATGCGCCGGTCTTTTAGAGAAATATCTCCATCTGTTTTTGTTTCAACTGCCTCCGTGGCCGAACAGTTACCATGCCGGACTGCCACGCAGAGGTCTCAGGTTCGATTCCCGGACCGGGAGAAATATTCGTATGGCCTACATTTATTTCTCTCGTGAGTTTGGGTGTAATTTGTTGTTGTCTATTTGTCTATGCGTTTGTCATGGCACCTGCGACTCAGGGTTTCCCTAGTGCGGGGCTATGTTGAGTGTGTGAGTTGCTGTTGTTGTCTAGCTCTTCGGCTGTTAGGAAACTAATCGTGATTTTTTGTGTAAGATCAGCACTTTCATTCGTAAAAGTACTATTATTTACAAAATGCATTATTTTAGTTAGGATATATTAATATAGGAATTCTATGTCATTACATGTACGAGTAGAGATGGGAAAAACTGTTTATTTTTTAAATGTTAAAACGTTGTGCTTTTCAATAAAAAAGAGCGCATTTTTAAACGCTTTTTAGTTTGAAGCTTACATTGACGTTTAGAAAAATGTTAAAGCGCATGGACTTTTATGTTTAAAAAAGCATGCAACGTTGTGTTGATAGCGAAAAGCAAGTGTAGATCACTAAAGTCTTTAAGATAAGTAAGTTTATTTATAAAACACGAGTTTTATTTTTATTTATAAAATTATTATTCACATTGACGAATTAATTTGTTTTTAGGAAACATAGATGGCGGAACTTGAAACTTAAACACGTTGACCAACGCTTACGCATTAATTGAAAAGCGTGCTTATGTGCTTTTTTAAAAAGCAAACTTTTTTAAGTGCTTTTCGTTTTAATGTACAAGTATATATTCTATTTTACCTATCATGAAACATGAAAATGGAGAACAATCGTGTATAGTCATCGAGAACGGTCAAGATCATAATGGATGATTGGTATGAAAGTAAGTAAAACGTGTAACTTTAAAATACCATTTTACAACACAAAGTTTTTGTTACACACATTGCAGTATGTACGACCAGAAACTCCACTGCTAACTTTAGTGTACCTATTTAACTGGTAGTAGCAGTAGAGCTTCTAGTGAAAGAGTTCGCCTAGATAAGTAGAGCCACTGTAATTAATTCTGTTGCCAAGCGGTAATGTGAGCTTTACTGTTTTCCGGTTTTGAAGGGTAAGAGTGCTGATGAAGTTACAGGCACATGAGACTTATCAACTTATGTGTTAGTGTTACAAGTATAAATACAATTAGTGATTGAACGAACTTACCTGCAAATGAAGGTCGATCATAATTATAAATTTTTCATTTAATATATTTAAGAGCTATTAAGAAGTACGTTACCCATTTCTGTTATACCTCACCTACCTATGCCTCCTTACATATTTCTGCCGCCAAGCGGTAATGTGAGCATTACTGTGTTCCGTTTTGAAGGGTGCTGGTGAAATTACAGGCTAATGGGACTGTCAACTCGTATCTCAGGGTTACGGGAGCAGTGGCAGTGCCATTCAACTCTTTGCGATTTAAAAGATTCCTGAGTGGCACTATGGACCGGCGTGTCCAGTCACTTGGCATCTTAAATAAACCTTCTTCATTTGTCAAGTTATTCTTTTATCTCTGAACTTGTGGTGTTATTACTGATATTCTGTTTCCGGTAAAAGAAATTAGTTTTTTAATATTCTTTCCAATAAATTGGATCAACAAAATAGCAATAACTATGGTGAGCTCATTTTCTAATTTAGTTTTGACATTCGGCTCTCTGAATCACTGTTTTTTGAAGTGGCAATACACTAGAAGACGATAACATCTTTCAATTAACGAAGCTTTAACGTACCAGTTTTTTTCGACCTTATGTCATGATACTATATTACCAATCTATAAAGTAATTTAAAAAGATGTCCACTGTAGATATTTTGTTTGTGTTACATTAACGTCTCCAATAATCGTTAAGCATGTCCAAGGAGGCCAGGATGTTGTATAACATAATTGTATTAGCTATAACCTAGATTGTAGTATCTCAGTGTCACCCAGACGAGGGTGGCATATCTATAAAGATAAAATTCTTTAAAAAATAAAGAAAAAAAATCGTTAAGTAACACTGAAATAAAAGATGGCCGCTAGATTTGATGAAATAATAAAGAGTAAGTTAATTTGCATTGTTGCTTGGCATGGCATGGCAAAGTTATATTTTGTACATTCTTGTCTAAATATCGTATCCATGGATATAACATCGATTTCGTAATACTTTCAGGTGTCGATATATATAAATTAACAACAAGAGTATATAAGGAATTGATTGTAGCAACTGCAATTGTTTTGCCAATTTCAACTTGAACGAGAATTTTCGAGAACGCAACGCAAGTCAACAAAATTAAATCTGGAAGAGACTTCAAAACAAACCAAGGAAGTAATAATGAAAGACTTCAACATCCATTCAGCAATCTGCGTGTGGCGTGATTCAACTGTTTCACTCATATGATTCACAACTAACTTCCATCTCGGTGCAACATTGGTCATAATATTTCAACGCTAGTAAATGCACCGCGCCTGGTGATGTATGGCGACAGACAGACAGATAAATTGCTCATAATTTATTGTTGTGGAAGCCGCAACGTTCCTAATTACAGACACACGCTCATGAGTTATATTACACGGAGCGGGAAGAAAAATTATTCGTGGTTATTAGCCAAGTATTTCGGTTTCCAAGTCAGCTGTAACTTGAATTGCTGTAAATAAAACATCTGAAGATCTCTCGCAATGAAGAGGAAACATTCGTAACTGCATGTAATGAATACTAGTTTCTTATTCAAGTACTTAGTATTGTGATATGTGGGTTAATGCTTTATTATCATAGAGCTTGTTAGAGCAAAACGTTCGGCGTCTTCGTTTCATGGTAACTCAAAAATAGACCAATCCAAATCGCAACTTTACTAACCTTAAATATTTTAAATGTTATTTAATATCATATCTTTATCTAATTATTTCGTTTTCATAAATTCTTCCATTTAAAGTTTATCTTACACGTTCTCCAAGCAATAAAAAGTAACATGATACTTTTGAATCTTCCGGTAAGGGACTCGGACCCGGAATCCATTTATTCAGTAGCAGCCGTGATGTCAACACAATCAAAACGAGTTTTCATTCAAGTCAATTTATTACCACCATCTTATCTATCTAATTTATCGTTTAGTATTTAAAATAAATGGTGCTACTGCGGCATTTTATTTTATTCTTGACAGTACGAAATTTATTCGTAATTTATATCTCATTGACATTGTGAAAGGTTCAATTATTTATTTTTCTTTAAATTGGGTTTATGAAATTAAAGTTGGCAATGAAATTAAATATTTACGTATATTTGTTTTCGTTTTATGTCCTTTATAACAACAAATTATTTCAACAGACACTTTGCTATTACGTGTGTACAGTCATTTAACGTTCTTTAGAGATACGTACATCTATGTTTTATTCAGAAACAAACATTCATAGCTCTATGTTACAAATAAAATAGTGCTAATTTTGCGAGCGTTTATCCAAAAAGCAAACAAGTCAGAGATTCTGTTTATTCTCTCATTTTGAAACTTGAAAATATAGGTATTGCGGTAACACGAGTGATTTTGTATTCTAGTTCTTGTAGCACAGGTAATTTGCACTTTTTACAAAACTAATTAGAGTGACAATGTAAGGTCTTTTGTGACGTGATGTTTAAATATTGCACGTTGTACTAAATGTTTTCTTATTACATATATTGGGAATTACTGATAAATGTACCAAGCAACTTCTCTACATACGCGTAAATATCTGTCTGTTAATAATTATTATGCATCTTAATTTGTCTAAAAGGATTATTATGTAAGCAATCATTGTCACCAAAACAAATATTTACCCAAAATATCTCGATAATTAAAAATACAAACACAATTAACAATCCTCACTAATTATTTGCAACAACTTAAATTAAAATTACTTTAATTACAATCTATACTTTTGGTACATAAAAATTTTGTTAATCTAACTAGAATAAAAGTTCACTATCATAGAGCGTCCAATATAAGCTTCGTGAAATTTAACGTTATACACAAAGTTAAACGTTAATTGAAAACGCTATTTCACTTGTTGCGCTAAGAACGATTTTTCATGCATTAAATATAGTAGATATTTGAAAAATATTAATCTTGATAGATAGAACGAAATCCTGCGTGTTCAAATTGTACCGTTCACGTTTGTGCGGAACGTTCAGTCCATTATAATATTATGAATTACAAGTTAGAGATCACAGCAATCGCAGCGCGGGCGCTGTCCATCGATGATATGAGCCGACTAGAAACCTGAAGAACACTAAAAATATATTTACACTATCTTCAGTTCCGAATGTCCTTTTGGCATGGGCATTAGCGGTCGGCGCCCCCTTTCTTGTTCACGTGGAGCGCCGACGGTCCTCAAGGGTGCAGAGGTCGCGGTCCAAATAGTGGGTACGGGGGGAAGTAAGCCGCCAGAGATGGATGCGGGGGTAGGGCGAACGGTAGCGGCGGCGAAGATACCAAGTGAGAAGGTTTGCTGTATGGATGGAACCTCGGTGTCAACGGCGACAATGGAGGTGTTGGGTAAGTCCGCTGCAGTAATGGATGAGTTGCGCTCAGCATCGAAAGACTTGGGCTAGATTCTCCTGTCGCAGTATGCGATCTGAGATGCTGCAATAATTCTTCAGACGATGCGAATCTCTTTCCACAGTAAGCGGAGTCTCCTGCCATCCAGCTGCAAACGAATGGCAGTTGAGATGCTGCAGCTAGAGCAGTTAGCTGAGCGTGCGCATAAGCAGCAGCAGCAGGATGGCCAGTGGGGAGATGGAAAGGCATCTTTGCGTGGTCGCACTGAGCACAACCAGCTGGGCAAACTGCAGATTTGAGCAAATGGGAACTTAGAGAGCAGCCAGTGCAGTACGGATCCCTGCAAATACCTAGGTCACTGCCAGGGGCTTTCATTCTTGCGTACGCTAGATACGGATTCAGTCCATTCTTTAACGCATGATGTTGTGCAGCCATCAAACTACTTGTCATCAAGTCCATTTGTAGAGGAAAACCAGATGGAGTCAGCCCTCCAAGAAAAGCAGACGAAGTCGTAGGTATACTAGGTTTGAAACTTGAAGGCTCTTTGGTATCGGCGCTGGCCATTAAACTGTTGGGCGTAAACGGTAACTTGGACGCAGATGAACTGCTAGTAGAGTCAGAGTTAGATTTGGCCGGAGGTGAATCTCGGGGCGGACTGGTACGCTCATCTGACTTTTCAGAAGGTGTTTTGCGATGAGCTGGTGGTGGCGATCTTTGTGACGAAGAGCTTTGGTTGCTGCCGCATCTCGCCTGCACTGGCGTGGTTGACGCACTACCCTTCGATGACAGTGGTGTTTTAGAGAGTCCATTCATGGAGGCTCTATCTTCTGGTGTTCTAGTCTTTTCTCTCGAAGTGAGGCACGATTCATAAGGCTTGAAGCTTGGCTTATTGCTGACGGGAGATTTCTCCTCGTATTTTTTGCTGGCTTTTTCAGCAGCAGAGATGAGCTTGGGGTTCGGCGAGTCAGCTCCAATAGCGCTGCAAGTCTGGGCAAGCAGCGCCAGCGGGCTTTTTTTCGCGTCGAGCTGTAACAAAGAGAAGTTTATGAAATGAAACGTCGGGTCGAGGTTGCGAGTGACGGACGTACAAAGGAACCGCGGGTGGTCGGGCGGGGTAAGTGGGGGAGTCCAATCACGCGGCCGACGCGCCATTATCCGCGCGTCTGGCAGCCGTCGGCTCCGCTTGACATTTCACTCGGCTCCCGCATGATGTAATCTCGCAGTGAAAAGGGCAATTTGTGCTGCTGAATTTGCGGCGCGCCTGAACTTGCCGCGTGTTGTCACGTCTATTGTCAAGACTGGCGCACTACAGCGGTTGGAGGAAATATTTTCTGAATTGCGTTTATGTTTTAACATTTATATTGGATTTACATTTCATATATATCTAACAAGAATCTACTACGAGGTATTTGAAAAATCTGATACTTGAAGTGAAACACTTCTTTAATTTTTCTGTTTACGATAACGTATAGCGTGCTAGATGTTATGTTCACTTCTACCTTAACTTCTAAGTTTTTAGCTAGAAAGATATAATTATAATTCTTGCACTTAATTTAGTTAACGGTTCAAAATATCGTTTTCAGAAAATCTTATTACTTTCATTTCGTTCCTTTAATTAACTTTAAACGAATTGGCTACGATTAAAGAATTTAATTAAAGTATAATCAAATACACAAACACTGCAGTCACAGTAGAATCGGTTAGTTAATTGCAAAAATGAATTTAATATTATAAGAAAGCAGAATATGTGTCTACTTTAGAACGGTTTATTAAAAGTAGTTGAAATAATATAGTAAATTATATTTTAATTTAATTTTTTCACTTTACAAGAATACTTACTGTGATTTTATTTGAAACTGATATAAATTGGTTTTCAAATTGAGAGTGATTATTTAGGATAATCTGTAATCCTGTAATTTTAAGCGTAGAAAACTACGTTGGCATAATGCGTAAACGTGTAATGCGAAGTATGCATGTAGACATAATTATGATAAATTTAAAAGATCCTATAAATTTTCTAACATAACAAAAGTAATTGTTCAAATTCTTTGTGTAGGCGCTTTTTGACAAAAGACACTTCATCGCATATGCATTGTTGGGATTACGTCCAAAAATTAGATCACTTCGTGTTGTCTTGTGAGAAATTTTGAATTAGTTTTTAAATTAAAATTATTAGCATCACTTGATTATTAACATTATTAATCATACGTTTTACAACAATGATTTGTTATTCTAGAATATTCTGTTACATTATTTTTCATCACGCGAAAAAGGTTTGAATGACCTTTGATATTTTCATCGAAAGCATTAATTGTTGTTGGCATTCTTTACCATTAACAATTCCTGTTTATAAGGATTGGTGAAATTTAATGGGGTTCGTTTTAACTTGAAAACGTGGTATTAAAATGACTCGTTAAGTTAATTTAATGTTCTTCTTCTTTAATTTCATATTTATTTGCTTAAACATAATTCATTAGTATTATCAGAACTTATCAGCTCTGTGATCAATGATACTTTATTAACTTATAATAACACTTAAAAATATGTCTTTCACGCACTGAAGTGATGTCATTATTCAAATCTTTGCACTGAAAGTTTAATTTTAAGTATTTAAGTCTACCTATCTAAATGTTTATGTATTTTGTCATTTGTTTAAATTCCTGCTTAGCGTCTTCAAATTAAATATTGTCGAATTGAAAATACACATATTATTCTTCTTGACCTCTACATATATGATGAAAAGAAATTAAAGAGATTTTATAAAAAGAACGCCGCAAACTTCAAACAGAAGTTTGTCATCACCATCAATCAACTTACCGTAGTCGGAAGCGGTGCCAGGTAATCCGGCCGCAAATACTGGTTGCTTGACGTAAGCATGTTGATAAAATCCAATAATCCTCTTAAAATATCAGTATTATTCACACACAAATCACTGCACAACGCTCCGTGTCAGCACATATTCACACACTTGTCGCGCGAACACTCAGTCACAAGAAGAAACACATGCGATCCTCACCACGGACGGCGTCAGACTGAATGCTCTACTCCCCCCTCCTCCTGACACCTTGTCACTCGCCGCGCCATTTTTGCATTCTGTGTACTTTGCGGGAGCTTTGCCGTCTTATCCCCACCGCTGTTTGACACCCCGTTTGTCGCCGCTTCCGTCTCGCTCTAGCAAAAGAAAAATTATAAAGCGTTTTCCTTCAGCGCGGCGTTTTGATGAAAGGATTATATAAAATATGCAACGCGCAGTCAAAGGAGTTGGCGATGCGACGACAGAGATGCATAGCCGGGGAAATTGAATAGCTGCGAGCGGGTAAACGGGCGGCTTAGTAATAATTTAGTTTTGCCTTCATCTGGGTTTTGCCGCGTTCCCTCTGCGTGGGTGTCGTTCTCATTGACTTTTTATTTGCAACTGATGTGGGCTGTGTCATTTTTCTGGGCAATTTGTTGAATTGTCACAGCCATTTGTTTCGCGTGCTGACAGTTTAATGAATAGCGAGCTATCCGTTTCATGGCAAGACTCTGATAGACCTGTGTTTATTTACTAACGTATAATTAGCCGCTTACTTTATGATAGAGACTGGGCAGTAGTACTAGAAATAATAATGACAGGTTTGATTAAAATGTTTACTCCTCTGCGTATAACTGTTATTGTCATATCTAATTTAATTTACCAAATTACAAAATCATTATTTCCCAAAGGAAGTCCAAATAAAAATGACTAAACATTCTTGCTTAAAACCCTCACGATGATATTATATTTACTCTGCATCCTCTAAAGTCCTACTTTATCTATCGGACCACCAACTTCGTTTACGGCTTCTAAAAATGCGCTTTCATTATTTGCTTGTCATAAACAAATACCTGCGTCATCGCAATTTCCATAATCTCTTTTTTTCAAACCTTGGGCGATTTTTAGTTTTAAATAATAGTCAAAAGTGTTATTTTTCTTTTGTTTACTTTATCTTTTATGATTATTACGAGATATCTTTTTCTCCTAAGCGAAGACATTTTTAAAGTTAGTTATTCATGAGGAGAACACAATGTGTTAACTACCTAAAAAAAGCTTAAAAATAAAATTACAAAAGGGACACTTTTATTTTTGAAAGTGCTTAATCTTAATCTAAAACTGTTAAGGCTATTGAAAAGACAAAGCCTGTATTGTGATAATTTGGCGCCATTCAGATTTACTAAAAAAAATCTGCGAATGATACAAAAATTGTAATCTTTTGTTGTGAGAGCTTATAATATATAAACAATTGAAACACATACCTACTCTATTCCGTGTAATATTTAGTCTTCATATTTGTTTATTATGATATATTTTTTTAAATAATTTTTTGTTTCGCTACTTCGCTAGTACTTTTAATTTTTGGATAGTTTAACCACACATCACATTATTTTACGTGAGTAAGAAATATTTACTCAAAATATACTTATCGACATTTTTACTTTTGACTGCCACACAGAAGTCCCGGGTTCGATTCCCGGGCCGAGAGAAATATTTATACGGCTTACATTTATTTATCTCGTGAGTTTGGGTGTAATTTGTGGTTGTCTATGTGTGTGTTCATGGTACCCGCGATCCAGGCTTTCCTTAGTGCGGGGTTATGCGTGTGTGCTTTACTATTACTATTATAATGTAGCTTCACACGTTCTGAAAATTTTATACGATAATTGCGTCGTTTTAATTTCCATAAGTTATCGCTATTCTGATAGTGAGATAAATTCTATGTAATAGTCAGTATGATTAAGGCCTAAATTTGTTGTAATAGACTTATTATAGTTATTTTAAGACAATAAGTGTGACGGGCGGACAATAAAGTTATTATTACTATAATTATGGTTAACATGGTGTTAACTGATAAAGCAACTGTATACGTGTATACATAGTCCACAACACACTCGATAAATCAGTAGTTGCGAGCTGTATATGACCTTTTATTTTAAATATGAAGTGACGATACGAACTAGTCGTGCGCCTGGTATTAAGCTACACTCCTGTCCTTAGCAGTGGCAGTGCCACTCAGAGCTTTAAATCTGAGGGTTAATTTCACCAGCACCCTTATCCTTCAAAACCGGAACGCAGTAATGCTCATATCACTACTTGGCGGCAGAAATAGGTAAGGAGGCATTGTTTCCCTGGATAACTCTTTCACAAAGAGCTCTACTGCTGCATTTTGACTTCGTATACGTCTGAAACTGTTAAAAACACCTTCAAGAACATGCAGTTTTCATCACGTTGTCATTTAAATAAAAATTAATTATAATACGTTTCTCAACTAAAGTAACCAAAACTATTCCCCTAGCGATGACGTAGCTATACAGTAATAGCGCTTTGATCTAAGAGTCAGTAATGGATTGGGCTGCTCCCTAATCCAGAGCGACGACGGTGACTGTGCAACTTTATGTGGACAAAATATGAAGTACCTTAAACACACGTACCTTAAAAAAAATTGTTTATGTGATTTTTCACAGACTTCAAAAAAAGGACTTGACTTTAAATTCTATTGTCGAGCATAGCTAAGACAAATATTTGAAGATTCTTCTATAATTAAGTTTATTGCATGTCAGGATGTTTCACCACCATGATATTCAATTATTTTTTGTGAAATTACTCCACTGTTTTGTTATAATTATTTATATAAAGATTTAATACGAATTTTTCTATGTGCTTGTTGCAGATCTTTGTTTTGTTTATAATACCAAGCGACGGCACCAACAAGTTGTGCTTCTGATTTTCTGAACAGATGCAGTGTCTCTTAGAGCTTTTGATCGTAAAGATCTTAGGGCTTTGCCACTGTGCCGTCACTCTAAGTACTCTGAGACATAAGTTGACAAGTCTCATGTACCTGTAATTTCATCAGCACCATTACTCTTCAAAATGGAACGCAGTAATTATCACATTACTGCTTGGCGGCAGAAATAGGGTAGGTTACAGTACTGCCCTGGACGAACTCTTTAACTTTTTACTGGTACCTACTACATGTGAATATTTTTTGGAAAAGCTTCTGTGGTACTTCACAGAAGTCTACGGTTCTGAGTTGTTTTATTAATATTCTACAATTGGAAATTACAACCATCAAATTGTAATTAAAAAAGTGAAATGTGTAATTTTTCATAAACAATATGTTCATGAATGTACACGTGGAGAACATTGTCTTTTAAAATACTTTATAAAATAACGAACTATCTTTGGTTAGCATTACAGCAAGTTACCAAAACATTATACATTAAGCGATGACTAGTCAATTTGGATGCACTTCGAACCATAGACAATTCCGTATCAATTGAACTCTGCCACTGGCACCGTGGGGAGTGAGGCTCGTTTCACGCCGACACTGATCGCCGACAAGATGGCCGACATCATACTTAGGGTTCACACTAGTTACATTTTTTTAGGGTACTTAAAACACTTTGAAATGTAACTAGTATGTTCAAATTGACTTGCAGTAGTCACGATAAACGAGGATGAGGCATAATTGCCTAAATTTTGCGATTTTACTAGGAGAACGGCGATACCCAATACCGAAAAACAAAATTGATATTAAGAATCTTAATCGAAAAGCAATTTATACAACATTCAAGTTAATTGGACATATCGAACTCTAGCGTCTGTTGTTATACTTGCATTTATTTGAATTCACGCTAATGACTCAATACCGTCATCATGTTTAAAACATAGGACAGCCCTACAAGATAAAACAAGCCGCAGTCGATGTGGCTGTCACAGCGTGAAGACTACCGTGCGGCCACGGGGAGCCAATCAGAATCACCTCGCTTCGTATCACTAGTCATTTTAAAGCCGCATTAGACATAATTAAAATTAATGTAGTATTGTTTAGGTATTGAAATGATGATATGGTATATCGAAAACCAGTTCATGCCTTTGAGGATTTTTCAGTCTGTCTTTACTTTTCTATTGTTGTTCCAAACTCGTTCAGTAGTTCATCTTAATTCGAAATAATTTGCTTTATAAATTTAAGACTTTTGTGGTTACCTAATCACTGAATAATAATCATTAATTACAGGTTTCTTATCACGTTGTGATTTAATATTGTTTTCTCGATTGATCCAGCGGGTGCTAAGAAATCTATAATTAGACCACTAATCATTTAGTTTTTATTAGTGACATTGTTAGACATAAATACTGTTGTAATAATTACCTCTGAAAAATTTATATTAAATTGTTAACGTGTGAAATTAGGACAAACACAAGGTTTGTTAGAATTAGTAAAGAGGTGGTTGAATTTTGGTATATTATGGATCAAACGAACCGCTAGTCATCACTGCTTGTCATGGTAAACTCTGGCGTAATGAATGGGCTACAATGACGACTACCGCATGGGATGGCGCCGAGCGATCAAATCTATCAATTTGATGTATCATGGTTCTTGTTTAGTAATTTCAAATAATAACTAACAATATTCGAGATATAAAAGATTAAACTAAAAATGCAACTTTAAACGAAGTTCCCTTAACTCCGTTTTAGAGAAATAAGACGATAGTTTTCCTTGGATTTTAGCTTTCATTAGAAAGCATGACGCTTATTTTGTTATCTGCAGACCTTTATAACTTAATACAAGTAATTTCATAATGGGAATGACGCTGCGAGTGAACAATGTACTTAAGTCACTAAGTCCGTGTGTCCAAAGAAACCATTTACTTTATCGTACAAACAAAAAACCAAAAAGAAAAACCTTCGATCAAAGTCTGTTTTTAGATTATACTCGGTTATCTCAAACGATATCAAAGATGCCGCTCGAAAGGCCTGTCATGGCATGACTACTGTATCTTACGCCCGCCAACGGTCAGATTGAACAATTTGATGTGTCATTGGTATGATGGAAACTGAGAATGACACTATCAGTTAGACTGTCTCGAACGAGAATGAGGTTTAGGCGAGTTCAGTAAAAAACCAAAGCTCAAACTTTTTGTGAAACTGATATACAAAGAAAAACTGACATAATATAGTAATGGTATTTTGATGATATATTTTCAGTACGCTACAAATAATTATTTAATTTCAATAATAT